ACTCGAGTTTAGAACAAAGCCTGAAGTTCTGGAAATTCCAGAGAACTGGATGATTGTAGAAAGTTTGGTCTCCACTCCGCTCCTTTTTGTTACAAGTAATGAGATGATCGTATTCTTCTGGTTACAGTCCAACAATATACAGGTGGAGCAAATGATCTGCATCATATCACATTCTGCTGGTTAATAACCAAAACCCTTCTTGCATATGTATTACAGTCTGGCTTTGTACCACTTCCCCCCCTCACTTTCAAGGACAACAGCCAATTCATTGCCCAGTTTGCTGAGCAGGTGATGGCCTGTCAACTACCCTTCAAAAATAGCCTCACCGTGTCAAAAGGAAGGGAAGTCCAGAAAGAACTGCTACCTACGCTGCTTACTCAGGCAACCAAAACCTCCCTCTGGGATATTGAATCACTGCATTAATGTCATGATGATGCTTGCACCATCTGCCTTCTCACTTCACTTCTGCCTCTGGCTCTCCCTCTGCCGTGTCTTCCTTGTGTGTACAGTGTTTATTCAACAGGCTCGCAGGTTCCAGAGAGCTTCTCGCCTCTCCTCATTATGTGATTGACTGTGTCACCTGCCACCTGCCAGCACAGCTGCTCTGCATTTGTTTGTCACTGTGCTTGGTACATAGAGAGGTTTTTGTGTCTGAGATACTGGAATTGTTTTCAGTTAATATTTGTGAAACTTATTCTCAAAGCGAGGACTTTTGTCCATGGAACTTTTAAGGACAACTGAATATTGAATCTAAACAAGAAGAGGTTGACAAGAAGTGTAAGAACAATGAAGAGGAGTTTAACAAGAGGTAAGGAAAAATAAGCAAAGTCTCCTCTGGAGAGTTTCTGTATTCAGATGAAGAAAGAAGGGGTTTGAGCTTTCAGGAAGGACTAAAACAACAAGATTGAAGCTGCGAGGAAGGAGGTGATTGAAAGAATCAGAGGTGCCTTCCTGAACAGAACAGCTGGAGAGAAATCAAGGCACATTGGACAGCTGATGGAGCTGTAGTGAGAGGAGAGAATAGTTGCTGAACTGAGAGCTGGCACAGATGTGGAAAGAGGTGATCGGGAAAAATGAATAGCTCATCACCAGCTTCAAGAATGAACTTATGGCTCACACAAAAGTGCATCTGCAGACTTTGGTCGAAGGCAATGGAAGAAACAAGAGTGAGAAAGAGAATGGAAAAGAAAATGTGAAGACTGCCTTCAACCTGTATTAACTGTTAGGCCTGTGAACTGTTTTGTTGGCTATTTAAGAGCAACAGAAACAAATTGTGAACGCAAAATTGACACAAACATGGGCTGTTCTGTTCTAAGCACTTTGTGTACAGTGGGTTTATAGAGCTTTTTAGGTTATAAATGACACTATGAGAAGGAGACTTTATTAATCCCTTTAGAGATTATTATTACACACACACACACACACACACACACACACACACTAAAGTACAGAGAAATTTCAGAGGAAGGGGGGTGCTTTAGGGGTTCAGGGCCTTGCTTAAGAGTACCTTCGGCAGCTACCAGTCCACACTCTGTATGACTGGTCCATGCTGGACTTCAACTGGCCACCCTCTGGTTCCCAAGCCAAGTCCCCACAGACTAAGCTACTAAAAGCCCCCCAAAGAGAGTGGTGAGAGTGAAACAAAACAGTAAAGTTGCAGGCCAGACAACATGAAGTGAAACTCGCAATAAAGCTCTATAAAGAGAAAGGCAGCAGCAGATTTAGGTGATGATCGTGTGTAGGTTTATCAGGACGAGTGAGCCATTTCACATTGTTTACACATAGTTATTTCATACATTGTTACTAGAAGAATATCAAATATGCCAGCAATAGGAAGGAACTTGCAGAGAAAACTGGAGAAACTGGGGAGAAAAAATACTTTTTTCTTCATTTTAGTTTGGAATAAATGCTTATTGGATTCAAACCTGTTGTTCCTGACACTTTGTTTTCCACAATAAAAAAGGCAAAAGTACCAGGGGGGAAAATGGAATTAAAAACTCTAAATATTAAGGTTGCTTCAGTCAGATTTTCAACGATACTATTATTCACTATTCTCTCACTCAGTCTGGTATTCCTTATTCACCTCACCCTCTATTACTCTACTTTCTTAGTGTGCTACACTAACAAAACACTATATCCAACAGCAAATGGCTGTCTTTTTCTTTGATGTCCACCACAACAGTTTCTTTCCTTATTCCTCTGGATAAAAACAGCTGCTAGTAAAACGACACGGTGACAAAGGGAGGAAAAGGAGGAGAGAAATAGTCAGGAAAAGGTTGACATAGATTGACAATAGACACAGAGGGAGTAGCTGAACAATCATTGCCAGCAGCAAACTGATTATTTGACAAGTGGCAAAGCTTAAATTTGATTTGATCATATAGCTGAAATATCCTCTGTTCCATGCAATGCAATCATCCTTTTCTCTGGGAGGCCTTTGCAGGGAGGTAACAAGTAGTGAAAGATAAGTGTGAACCACTTCAACACTTATAGATAAAGGGGTTAAGATGGAGGCAGTAATGATCCTTCAGTAATGATCACACATCTCACTTCAATTGTCCCCAAAAATGCATTTCATTAAAAGGTTGTTAACTGTACCAAGAGTATTTTCTCTCACTCACTTCATATATGTGTAAAAACTCTCACACAGAGGAAAAATATCATCCTAATAACTTATGCGTTTATTGTACGAGTTTCGATAGTGTATTTTCTTAATCCTGTGGATGCCCACCCAAACACTGATGCCAGCAGGTCATATTGAGAGTTTTACTGTTATTAATGTCATGTCACTTGCATTAAATCTAATCCCTCTCTTCTTCACTATTTGTCGAAGAGTTATATGCATAAGAAACAGGGTTCTTTGCGCACCTTCCAGCAGGATGCAGCTGAATCAGGTGCTTCTCAGTTTGAAGACAACAAACTTCCAAGGAAACAAAAGTGACTGGAGCACACTAATTGAACACTACTGTGTCTTCATTAGAGTCAAAATGGACATAGACAAAAGGCAAACACTATGTACGTGTGCTTCATTGTGGGGTCCAACATGTGCCTATGTTTTAACCAGGTTGGTTTTAACAACTTAGCAAATATCAAAGTTGCTAGTATAGACTTATAATGCAATTTTTAAGTGCCTAGAAAGGGTACTTTGACTATTCTCTTCTTTATTAGAATTACATTACAAGTTGTTGTAGGGTAAGTGTAGCCTGCCTATTAAAGGGGTGAAATGTATTTTTTCAATGAAATCACTTATTAATAAATGAAATTTTTACTGTATTTTTGTCAATAGGCTGTAACCTCACACACCTGTTTTCTCTGATGCTTGCAACAACCACTATTCTTCTTCTAATGTGAAGGTATCGGGTCGGGATCTAGCACTGTGTGTGATCCAGAGCCTCTCTCCAACTACAGCAACAACACCACAGCTAACAACATGCTAGCACCATAAAACAACCGGCTCCCTGCACAACACAGACTCCAATATAAACTCCACATAAGGATTAAAACTAAATAACTAAATAAAGTTTAACATGCTGAAGCCCATTAGACAAACGAGATTCAGGGGATGTCAGGTGAAAACAGTCAACATCAGAAAGGCTGGAGTCACGGAGAGAGTCACATCAATTAGCTCACTGGCTAACGCTGAGTAGTTGCTAACATTATCCGGTGCAAAGTTGTATGGCTTTCCACATTACTTCACCAGCTAACGCGACCTGTATTGCGATCCTGTGTAACACCGGTATTATGTCAAAGTGTTGACTTAGCCTGCAAGAAAGGATGTAATGGTTAAAAGCAAATGTGGAGCAATTTGTTCATACAAGCCTAGTAATGGCTAGTCAAGGCAGGGCAGCCAGCTAACGCTACATTAGCTTGGACTTGCTGCTGTTTGCTTTTTAAGGTTCAATTTAGATTTGTCATTTTACCAATACCCAGGTAAACAGCTTCTCCAACTCTCAGTTGCTGTAACTAACGTGACCCACATAATATACAACATTGCAACAAAATGGTGCAGGACAACAACACAGAGGAAGACATCACTAGTAATGTTACTTACTGCGGTCTAACTGTTATAAAGTCTAGCAACAGTCACATTTATAATATTCAGTCTAGCTCACTAATTGTTTCATTGTCATCCTATACCTTCAGCTGTGCTCACATCGCTGAGCCACCGGTGAAAGATACCTGTACATACAGATACAGTAAAGATAGCGACTGAAAAGAAGACAGACGAGCTAACGCCAATGTATCATGTCGGCTAAATGCAGTAAATGTAACGTTATCATGTAATGAGCATGGATTAGTTCAGACTCAAGCTGATAAAAATATTACTGTAATGTTGCAGTGGCAGTTTACCTGAGTTTAAGCTGGCTGGCTGCGCTGTATGAGCTGGGAACGTTGACGTAATAGAGCCTAAACATGTCTGGGGAAAAGCCACAGCTGGCATGTTTCCGCATTTATTGTGCGATCTCTGTATGAAAGTGGTTGCATTTCTGAGTATGCTCACTTGTGAGTTCAAGCCTATTCTTCAAGCACGCATATGAGCACAGCAAACGCCGGGTTGCAATCCTAAAACCGCAGCGCTAGTGGCTGCTGAAAACTTACATATTGCCCCTCTTACACCTTGAAGTCTAATCCATTTTACCTTTTCTAGGTTCACCTGGTTGTACAACCTCAACCCTGTAATACACAATGAAGTTACATACATGTTATTTTTTTCAGGACAACTTAGGCTATCAGAATCTGTATGCTGCAGTGATGTCACATGACTGTAAATAGTTACATGACCATAAAGACAAAAATAAAAAAACGAAAATTTTATCTCACAGACATGTATTCATTGTTATGATTAGGCCTTGCCTCCTCCTACTTCCTAGTGTTCTCCCTGTTTTTCCCTCCCCTGCTGTCTCTGTCAGTCTTGTTTGTCATGTCCTGTATGTGTGTGTGTGTGTGTGTGTGTGTGTGTGTGTGTGTGTGTGTGTGTGTGTGTGTGTGTGGGCGTGTCCGAACCTGGCTCTTCACCGCCTGCAGCGTCTCACACCTGCGGCTCATTTAGTAATCAACCTGTGCAGTCAAATACTCCGGTTCAGCTTCCACTCTTTTCAGTTTACCTCCCGTGGTACAATTACTCCGGCCAATTCTTTGTGTCTCAACATTATCGAGTGTTTTTGTGAGTGTTTGCCTAACGTCCTGGTTTTTTTGTCCACCTCAGTAACCACCTGAGACGTTGCCGGCCTGCCTGCCAGTCCGCCCTGAACTGAACAGAAGGACGCCATAGCCAAGACCCGCTCAATCTGGAAGCCTCCGCTTTTCCCCAAACCATTCGTTTCCTTTCATGCTCTGTCGGAAATAAACCTGCTCGGGCTTTTGACATCTAACTTGTGTCCGCATCTGAATCCTCCAGTGAAATCTTAAAATTCATATCACAATGAAAACATTTCATGAACAATATTTTTGGTTTCTCAGAACTGGTCCCCCAATCAAGGAAAAAATCAGTCTTTCTATTTATCTAGTTCTATCTCTGTTTCTGTTTTCTCTCTCTATTGTCTCTGGATGCTCTCTAAAATGTTCGCCTATATGACAGTTGTATATCGGGGAATTGTTTAAAATGTCAAATTACAGATTTATTTATGCATGCTCTCTGCGAATGTCTTAAACTCCAGAAGACTTGGTTTGACATTGAACATTGGTTGTCAGAGTTTGGGGTTTTATAATATTAAATGAGCTGGATTAGACCTAAAATCTTTTCATCAAATGTATATGAAAAAGTTGTACTTTGCATTGGAAATCTAGCTCCAATACAACAAAAATGGAAAAAGGAAATATATTGTTATTCAAATATAGAAAGGACAATATCCATAGCATAACTAACTAAGTATATAAAATCCAAGGCTTTCAATGGGTAATGTATATATCTAGGAGGTAGGTTAGGGTGATAATGCCATACTTCACATAGAATAATACTCAGGCCAGAATATTTAAGCCTTCCAAGTGTTTAAGTTTCAGTTAGTTCAGGATCAAAGGGTGTTCTTGATAAAGATGAACCTTTCTGCCATGTCCATGTTGTACCAGTATTTTACTTCATCATTTAAGGCAACTTTTGTTCCTTTACCAATGTTCTTGTCCTGCCCATTAGACGCCCTTGAGAAGTCAGCTAACCAAAAGTATTTCCAGCAGAGAATTAAATGTCAGAGCTTATAAATCTAATTCATTTTAAGTCCTCCCTTTGCTCTTTCCCCAGACTGCAGTATATTACACAGTACTATACACAGTAAATTTTAATACAATTTGCAATATATCTACTGTTTTACCATATTAGTGTCACGAGGAAACAACAAAGACATTTTTACTGGATATTGTACTATTTCCAAGTTCTAAAACATTAAGTTTAGAGTTACTTTTACCAATCCTACTAAACTAAGTTTGTTAACTTCATCTTAGCCTTTTCAATTGTTTTTCTGAGCCATTCCCCTCATCTAAACTCTAAACCTGTCCATCACTGTGCTGAATCTGTTTTCATCGCCTTGTTTTCTCTATTCTTTCTCTTTCCCATTCTCCATTGATTCTCTTCCAGATGGACTGCTATGACCTCTGATTCAGGGGGTTAACAACATCTATAGAACTTCTGCAACCCTATCAGACCAGAAAACAACACTGTCGTCAAACAACCTGCTGCTTCTTTCATTTTCTTTCTTTTGTTTCTTTTTAAACAAGGAAAGAAGCAGCAGGTTGTTAATTTCTGTCCTCATCTATGTCATTTTGTTTAGTACGTGTGCTTTTATGAACTGAATTATTAATAAAACTGCTGTTTCTGTCTTTTCTTTCCTTACCTTCTCCCTTCGAATTTGATATAACTGATTCAACAAATGAATTGATTTTATAAAATGGATATAGGCCGTTTGCATGGCCTATATACATTTTTATTGCATGGGAATCCAAAATTTAAATGTATCATGCTTAGCATAACTGAACTAAATATACTAAGATGCCATTCTGGTTCTTTAGACTGTTATACAGTATGAGTGCATTGACAACCCAAGATAAATTGGAGGCAGGAGGCTGCTGAGGAGTTTTGGCAAAGCAAAAAACATTCCAGCCAACAAGGGGGGCTGTTTTTAGGTAGTCAGAGGCAAAACCAGGTCTTAGCAACCAGGAAACAATGACAAGGCAATGACTGGAAATTCCTGTTGGCGGTAAACTTTGCTCAGATGTGGACAAGGGATAGCACCTAGGATAGGTCTCCGATTTCGGCATGGGCAAAGAAAGACAGAAAGAGAGTGAGCCAGTGAGCCTGTATCACAGCTCGGGGCTATTATTGGATGGCTGCTCTACAACACTAGAGAGGAGGGAACATGCATAGGGCCATGTAATGGATGTCCAAAGTGATTTCTCAGAAACAGCATTGTGCATTCAACCTGCAAACCAGCCAGGCTTGATTGGCCGTACTCAGCTCACCTGTCCCACCCTGCTGGGAAATGGATTTCTCTCTCTCTCTCTCTCTCTCTCTCTCTCTTTTCTTCCCCATCTCACTTTAGCTTTATTTAGTGAAACACAGAATAATGAATAAGAGGACTTTCACAGAGATAAATATGCACTCACACATGCTGGTTTTTCTTTCTTGGCCTACCTCAAATGCATAATCGGGATTATGCATTTGAGTCCATTGCTGCTTTTTATGCTATGTTTGAATGATTCTTATGATAAGTTAAAATACTGCATAAATTGCATCGATTTGCATACTTTATACAAAACGTGTTTCCATTTTAAGAGCACGTAACACAGTGTTTTAATTAAGATGAAAGCCTGGTAGTTGAGGGGTTTTGCCACTGTTGTAGTATTAGTTGGTTTAGGATTATTGATAATAGTGATCACATGCAATTTCTTGGGTATTATGATTCATTATTAGTGTCTTGTAAAAAAGGATAAACCTGGACCTGCCAAATTATATGTACCACTTTTTATATTTTATATGCTCAACCCTTAATTGTAATATTTCCTGTAGCATCTTGAGGGAAGCATCTTAATCTATCAAATGGATTTTGTTGTAAATGTGTGCAACGGTTGTCATTATTATTTTTGTGTCTGCCCTTCGATTCTCCCAAGGAAGGGCTGTGTTGAGCTGAGGACATATTTATAAGTAGTGCTTTACTACCACCAGAAGGACACAATGTGTAGTGTATCGAGAGGGGACCCCTATTACAGTTTTTCTCGATTGCTTAAACACATTTCTTGAAATGATGCCTCTTCGAAACTCTCGAAACCCTAAACACAAATCTACAACTTCTCACCCAATTCCCTTCATATTAACATCCTATTTTCAGGTCAAAATTAAGCTCTCTACTCACAACCATTCACAAACACTACAACACAGTCTGATACAATGGTGAGATAAATTCAAAACAATGCTACAAAAAACTGGTTATTACTAATGTTGCTTGTGGTTCTTCCCCTCAAAAACCTTTTCACATGGTAAACACAAGAAAAGAAATTACAAATGTAAACATTTGCACACTTTTTATTCCTTAGTGTGCTGTACAGTACAACACACCAAACAACAAATTATTCTGCCCCAGCATCCTGTCTTTGGTCTGGGACAGGCCAGAGATTCTTGTTCTCCTCCTCCTCCTCCTCTCCGTACTCCTCCTCCACCCTCCTCCACCGCCCTCCTCCTGCTCCTCCGCCCTCCTCCTCCTCCTCCTCCTAGGGCCTTTCCAAAATTACACCCTCGCCTCTTCCACTCTGACACAGAGTGAACTCTGGTCGGAGTCACCCTCACAGCCAAATCGAGCTCCCTAACCCGCTTAGGGTGTACATATAGCGGTCAGCTTTTGGACGAACTACCCTCTCACCCCATAGTAAATATGATCTGATGTTACTGCTGCACTCATTGCTACAATATGTGTATCAAATAAATAACAGTTATATTACAGTTTTTCACAATTGCTAAGACACATTTCTTGAAACCCAACACAAGTGCATCACAGTGCAAAATGTGTTTTATTGAGTGAGAATGTGTTTAGAGTTTTGCAAGAAAAGTGGATGAGATTCACAAACAGTGTCTTAACGACCTGAACTTGTTTAAGGTTTTGCCAAAAAAGTGACTGATTCGACAAATGGATTTAGGCCACTGAGCATTTGGTTCAGAGCATGGGGTTTAGTGTTTTAGCAATTGTGAAAAACTGTAAGATTCAGGATTGATGTTGAGGAAAGGTGTGTTTTTTGCAATAACGAAACTCAAAGCATTTGTCATTCATTTTGTGTTTGTATTTCTGTCAAATACGTCTTTAAGAACATGACTTTAGATATTTTCGAAAAAATAAATATTTTATTCTTTTATGAAAAGATTGATATTGTAAAGAAAACCCTATATATTTGAACCTCTTTATCTTATATGAAAAATATTACATTTACAAATAGCCTTCAATATATTTCAATATAAATCAAACATTATATTGAAGCATTATTTAGTCTGAAGAATTTAAAACAATTAAAATGTATAAAGATGCTTTTCTTTAATACCTTTTGTTGCTTGTTACGTGATCCTCCTGTGTATCTAGTATGTGTCATGTTCTATTATTCCGGTAAACATTCTATTTTCAGGTAAAAATGAAGCTTTCCACTCAAAACCATTTAATCTCGCTGAAAAACTAAACTTTGCCCTCAGATAAAAGATAAAAGTTCATCAAATTTACGCAATGCTCCCTGTTGTAGTGTTTTGTAGGTCAGTGTGTTACGAGTGACAATGGATGCTGAGTTTATTTTGAGACCTGTATGAAGTGTTTTGGTGGTTTGAGTGACTTTTGGAGGTGAGATTAACTGTTTGGCCAAGATGCATGCTGGTAATGCAGGCTGTGTGAAGAGTTTTGAAAAAGTGGCTTCAGTTGCATCTTAGCAATTGAAAAATAAAACTGTAAATGATAAATGAAACATACATGGTGCAAGCAGAAGAAGAAGAAAAGGAAGGAGAATAAGAGGGAATATCAGAAGAAGTATTCCTTTGATTCATCATAATTCAGATCTAAGGTAATTAACCTCAATGCTCTAGTTAGGAGTGTGAACATGCTTGCTTCAACACAGACACTCTCACATGGACACACACACACCAAGCTAGTGGCCTCATGTTCAAATAATGAGCACAATCCTCAGGAGAGCTGGTCCATTGCTTTTTTAATACTGCCTTTTCCAAAGGCCACTCCTGTTGTTTCTAAAAGCCGAAGTGGGTTAGAGGAAGAGTACTAATGGAAATTCAGATTAGAAATGGAACACCACCATTAAGACTGCATTAAGACAAGTGCTATTCAAATTAATTTAAATAAGTCCATTCCCAGTGAATTTATTACCATTGGATACATTTGCCTTTTATAATGAATGGTTCAGAATTTGCTGTCTTGATCTCTTATGATGAGATTAGAGGCAGAATTGAAGAACACATTTCTGAGTCCTGGTTGAGATGAGTGTATAAACACTTCCCCCTAGTGGTTAATTTAAGAACTGTGGTTCCTCATGATTTCAGTCAGATATTTCAAATTGTTTCTCTACATTACAGGAAGTGCTGGGCTGGTTAAAATGATCATTGCCGAATACACCATGGACCCACCATAGAGCAATGCTATGCACACACACACGCACGCGTGCACACACACACACACACACACACACACACACCTAAATAGAACTTAAAACAGCCAAATGATTGGCAGAGCAAGAGATTATATATGAGAGTATATAAATATATAATATAATATAAAACATAAGCAATAAACAGAAATATTACTGGTAAACATGTATATCCTAAATCTGTTCATGGATCTGGTCTGACTGTTTCTTTACTTGGATGACATTTCATTTTTGCATTTTGCATTACACAATTTGTCTTGGGAATAGAAACCACAAGCGCATGAAAAAAATTGCACAGTTGCATATTCTTCATATTGTTATTCTGTACAGCTTCCTTCTTTATGGTTGCCTGCACAGCCTGCATCAGCACCAAAGGCTCGATGAATGAGTTTCATAGAAAGCTTTTGAGCAATACCCTGAAAAGCATTCCTATTACAGAAGCAGCTCCTGAAGTCAATAACTCCTGTACATGAGACATTTAATGTAGAATCTTATACTTACATGAAGCAAAAATGCTTCAGTTTCTGTTGATGATGCACTTGGAATGTTTTCTCTGCTGTTGCTCTATGTTTTTTATTTATGATTGAGAAATGTCACTTTCACTTTAAAAACATGAAGCAGACAGTAAAGTTGTACCATGGCAAGTGAACCATGCAACACACAAACAAACAAATGAGCTTGATGCCAACTCAAATGTATTAACAACATTTATTCACTACAAGTTTCAGTGTTATTTTTCTATTTCATTTCAACCCAACAGTAAGAATAAGATGTGTTTTTATACATATTTACAGATTGGTTTTCACTATTGGCAATATATCACATGTCATTATTTATTTTTATACACAACCCATTTACCACCTTGTGTACCACTGTATGGCCAGGGTAGAAAATTAGATGTTTATTTAATCTGGGTTGAATCCTCAGTAGTTTTCTACTGATTTTGCTCTCTTTCCTCCATTGCTCCTGCAATCTGAGGAGTTAGAGCAAAATAATCTCTGTTTAGCTTTTCTAGCCTGAAATTCTCTGGGAATAATAAAGCCAGAGATCCTCTTCTTCTAATGTTGTCAGCCTGTGTTCAGTGCAGGGACACTGGGAGAGATAATGAGTGAAATCTACACAGACAATAGACTTTATTCTGAAAACACTGTCAAACAAAAAGGAGGGGAAGTGATAACCTGTTTCAGCCTCACTGTATTGCTGTACTGTGTTGCAGATAGACTTAACCAAAGTACTACAGCTTTGTGACAGTGGACAGCCTTGAGACAAAAAAGAAAGACAAAACATGTTGGATCAATGTGTCTGTAACAACACTGAGCGGGTATATAGCTGTGGTCAGACAACGTACATATTGTAGTAACTGATAGAATAGTGAATAAATGCAGAAACAATGCAGATGTAAAACAACAGGCAATTTCCATCGTGACTTTCAGGCAAAACCCCCCGGGAGAACTCAGGATTACTGTTTGATCCAGGACTGCGTAAACTGCAGGCCTACATCACTGACAACAAACTGTGATGGGAAAACAAGTGTTGACTGGTACTCAGCAGGTGTACATTTTGGAGACTGCATTCATGTGTGAATTAAGGGATGACATCAATAACTTGGCTAGTATTTATTGCTCATATCCAAAGTGTTTGGAAAACCATTCTGTATTTACCTCAGACCTTGTGAATAAATGGCGATACTCATTATAAACATAAAACATAAAAAGAAACATCCCTTCATTGAAACCAATAACACTGTCGACCAAACTCAGCTTGTTGTCTAATGTAACAAAAAGAACCGTTTCAAAATTAAGACACGTGAGTTGTAAAATATGTTTCAGTCAGACATGTAATGTATTTTCTTTGATTCACAATCTAGCCTACTGTTGTAGTTACAATATGTACAGTAGAAAACAGTAGGTGTTAGCCTTTGTCAATGGGAAAAAAAGTCACCTTTAAATATATATTTTCTCTTTATAAAGCATTTACGAAATAAGACATCCTCCTAGCCACATCTTCTCAAAGCAGCACTGATGTGACATGAACCAGATTAGGACGACAGCACGGATGAACACAGCGGAGACTATGACAATATCCATCTGCAGGTTCAAGTTTAAATCAGGGGGCAGTAGCTTTCTGCTGTGAAAAGTGCTGTGCAGTTTTTTCTCTGAAAATCCAGCACTTGTGCTATCTTCAAATATCACCAGTGTTTTGTATGTGCAGGAACGTTTCAGTTAATGTGGTATGAGTAAAGCATATCATTAGTAAGTTATTGTTGAGTTATTGTTCATAAGACATTGCTCTGAAAAGTGCAAAACGTAATCAAAATATTTGCATTCAATGAAGTAAATTAAACCCTCTGTCAATGCATCTAAGGCCATTTCACCCGACATAATTTCATTCTTATACTTTCATCCTTTAGGTTACTCCCAGTAGACGTCTGAACATTCACTTTTTTTTAATGCATAACCCTCATCATCACTAGCATTCCTGTCAGTCAAAACTACAACTGTGAGAAGAAATTATTAGAAATAATGTGGACTTAATTTGTTATCCTAAAACAAGGGACACATGCATTTATGTGGGAATCCGAGCTCGCTTCTGTCTGACCATGCAGCATGGGCACACTGAGATGAAAATGCCTTGTGTTGCTTTGAGTCCGAAAAACCACAATCGTCACAATGATCCAGCCCTGAAAAAGATGTGGGAATCCATGTTGTGCAGGAAATGTCACTCCAGCTTTGTGAAATCATCCAAGTGGTTAAAAAATAGTTCCCACCACACCCGCCAGGAAAATCCACCCAAAACGGGATGATTAGATTCCACGTAGTGCTCGTCTACAAAATGGAGGGTCCTGTCCATCAAGGAATTGGCATTAAATGAACTCCGCGCTGTAAAATCCTTTGTTTGTTTTGAGATAAAGAAGTCGAGACATACAGAAAGACACAGTTGTAAAGGGCAGCGGGCTGCTTCAGCCCATATCATCAGTGGCTTTCAAACATCACAACCAATCATTAAGTCTTGTTTTTACCAAATCAGATTTCAGACCAGCGAGCCTGCTCTGCTCTGGGCAGGCACCATGACAGGCACTGCCCCCATCCGCTCCAGCGTGGCCTGGCTCACGGCGTAGGAGTGCGTGTGCTGCCCATGTGTGGACGTCACCACCGGTTTGAGGCTCACAGAGCCGTTGCTGCGCACCATGGTGGGAGGGGAAGGGGCAGAGTTTGTGGTGACCACCAGAGTCTTGGGTGGCGGGAGCGTGTGGCTGCCATTTGCAAATGATGTTGTCGTTGCCGTTGTAGGCTGCGCGTGGCGGGACAGTGGGGCTGAGCCTGGTGCTGTGACCACTGTACTATGGCTGTGTCCTGCGTTCTGGGCCTGTCCGTGTCCATGTGCACCATGAGCAGCAGTGGAGAAGGTCTGCCGAGTGTCTCCGTTGTAGCGTGTATAGGAGTTGGTGTCATAATTGGGTTTGGGGTTGTGCCAGTAGCGGCTGTTGTAGGTGTTGGTAGACGTCAGCGTGTCATTCTCTGAGGATGAGGCGTCTGCATGGAAAGCCTTCACTGATGACGACCTCTTGGGAGGAAGGTCATCTTCTCTGTTAAGAAGATATAAGTTGTAGATGTCAGTGATATTAGAAGAGCAGTCATAGCAGTATGAAAGCCAATTACTTCATCTTCAAATATTTAGCACAAATCCTCTATGACACATTAAAAATTAACAGAGCTTCTCCATGCACTCAAGCTGCAACACACTGAAAATTTGAAATACTACTTATTTATTAATTGTTACTCTTCTGTCTTTCTGGGAAATGTATATGTATATGAAATGTAAATATACAGTGGGTGGTTACAATAACTGGAACACCTGTACACATAATGCAATAGCGACAAAAAACACATTATTTTGTCCAAATAAAACAAAACAGAAAAGGCTATTATATTTAAGTGCTACTAATACTGTGTTCGCCTCTTGTAGTCAGCACTACATTCAGACTACACTTAATTAAGAAATAAATCAATCAATTTTATATATACTTTCAGTAAATATACAGTAAATGTTTTCAAACATTGTTTTTATGTTGATTTCTATTTAGTCCTTGCTCATATAAACTACGGGTTTTTTTTATTGATGAGTACTTTTGGGTAGAAGAGTTTGGCTCCTGATTCATTTGGCTGAGATAAAATAGATTCAATTTGATTTGCTGAGCCGTAAGGGTGGAAACTGAATTAGTTCAGATGTTATCCCAGTTAGCCAAAGCCTCAGATATCTGAACAATGATTTATCTTCCAAATGATTCATGGAGTGATTTAAGGGAGAAACTGCAGCTCATTCAAACACGTGACGGACCTTCACAGACTGTAAATGACAATTTAGCTCAAATTAGCTTATTGCCTTTTAAAATACAACAGAGAGACCACAGGTGTTGTCTCCACCCTGCCACAGTCTGAAATACTAACGCAAGTAAACAATCCCTGTTTGACTTCAACAGAGACATCCACCTCCAATACATCCTTTAATATTGTGTTGTCTGTCCTTCATGCACATGGTTGTAACTGTCTAAAGCACCATTCTGATTAAAAAGGAAAATCACAAATCAAAGCCGAACCTGATCTCATTGGGGATCTCCTCCTCGTCGTATTTGTTTTTGTTCTTCCAGTAGAAGAGTGTGACCACCACTAACAGGGAACAGATGATGACAGCTAGGACTCCCGTAGCGATGGTCCCTGCTATCAGACCCACACTCTGAGGCTGGGCTGCAGGACAGAGAGATAGAAGGAGAAAGTTCCACAAATGTTTGACAAATTTACAGTAAGTAAGATCAGCCTCACCTGAAGAGAGAGCTGAATGGATTGGGGGAAAGTGAATTAACACGTGTGCATTTTCAAACAAATATAGATTTTGGGACCTACGATGGGTTAACTCCAATAGTCGCTTGTTATGAAAAGGTGAATGATTGTTTGTTTGCTTGCCAAAGTTGTGGTGGTCGAATAACATACTCATTTAGGTCCCTCTGGCTGCCATCACGTTAATTATTAACGTTGGCTGCAAACAGGTTACATGTTTATTGTTGATCATGTAACGTTACAGTTTTATTAAGTTAACGTTACACTGGGTTTGAGAGTCAGCGGGATGAGTTGACTTACACCAGTTAATAAGCTGTGATTACTTGCATTGCAGATTACATGGTTGTGCTCTGTAAGTGAAAAACAGGTTACAGTTACAGAAGCCGTTATAGCTATGCAATGTTATAAGCAGCCTGGATTGAACGCAGCAGGTAATTCAACATTCATTATAACCACGAGTTACTTGAGACTTGACTTGGACTCTAGCTCAAAGACTTGAGACTTGACTTGGACAGCACTGATTTGAATGTATGAGGGATTTCACACTGCCTTAAAGAATGAGCTCCTGATGCACTGCCTCAGATTAAATTTTTAATGTCAGTTTTCAGAGTCAGGTGTCTAAGAGAATTACTTTCTACACCCAGTATTGAACTGAATTGGTGGTATAACATGTTAATATACAACATATGAAGCATATTCCCAAAACAAAAAGTTTAGGGAACTATCTGTGCAATGAGTAAAATAGAATCAGGAATGGACCAGAATAGTTTTGAGCAACACTTCTGTTTTTCTGAACATTTACATCTGCACCATGTTTGTATTACCTGCTTTTAAATGAGTGAAACCCACTGTTGTCTCTGACAGACAGCCTCAGTGCTCTGTTGTCACACAGAGTGTCAGCCTGTCACGCACTGTCAGATAAAACTAAAAACCATGTTACAGTCCTTCCTGTCAAGCTATCCAAACTGTCTGACCCTGTATGACCCTAAACAGCAGTCCCCGCGTCTTGACGCAGACAGAGGGACTGCTGCTGCCTGCAAGACATTCTGGTCTAGTCCTGTGTTTGGTTGTTTTTTATGTTTGTGTCTTTGTTTATGTGATTGTTTGATAAGTGTCACTCAAGGAGAAGACTTCTAACTTTATTCCCATCTGTCAGTGTTCGAGTGAGACAAGGATGCCGCTTTCCCATCTATAAATGCACATCCCTATGCAAACGCAGCCATGTGTCAGCTGTGTCACATGGATCCAGCAGTAAGGGCGCAGTGCGTGTGTGTGTGTACTTACGTGCTACGACCTGCAGGTTGAGCAGACAGGTGCTCTTGCCAATTGCATTGCTGGAGGTACACTGGTAAAGTCCTGAGGTGCTGGTGCTTATGTTTCTCAGTGTTACCGTGCCCTGCATCTGGTCTAAAGGACACACACAGAGCCACATAGTGTTTAAGAGGACCGAAGCACAGCCAATCAAAAAACATTTACACAGAGTGCAAAGTATAAGATGATGAGTTTATTAAAAGTAAGCTGAATAAGTCATTTACAATTTGTATAAAACATTTGGTTTCTGTTACTAACCTTGTAAATAGTTTCACAATACATTTAACATTACTTTGTCTATTATCTATCAGTAGAGGGTGCTATATATCTACATACAAGTGCAATAATATAAAGTGTGGAATTGAACTATACTGTACAGTAGAAAGGTAAAGCTGCAGAGTCCTTTTTTTGGTTTGTTTGGTTTCCTTAAAAAGGCCTCAGCATTTCCTGGATATCTGAGTTATAGAAAGTGAGCCAGATTTTCACCTGCTGACAGATGTCAAGGCTGTCGGTGTCAAACTAAACGCACAGAGAGTGACACTGACAAATTCAGGATTTCCTTTCAGTTTGAATCAAAAGCAAACAGCAAAAGAAGACAGAATCAAAACTCTATACGAAACAGTGAGACCATTTGCTCTTCCGATGTAAAAGGTTGAAAATGTCAGAAAATGAAGAAGAGTAGATTTAATGAGAGTGATGAAGTGCTATAAGCACAATGTTTAACAATACAATATCAATAACTTGGTCTTGATATTTTACGGGATATGATTTCCTCATCTAGCTTAAACTGAAATATATCAGCTATCTCTCTAATGGTTGATGTTGACTACATACATTTAATTTACAGAATCTGGGTTTAGAGCAAAGAATGTAAACAGCATACAATAAGTGTAATGTAACTATAAGACAACGTACCTGTTGCTTTTTACCAACAGTACCAACTGCAATTTTGGCGAGATACAATTTCACCTCTTTGAAGTTCTGTTAGATGTTAACATATCAAAGAGCTGATTCCAGATACGCCAATTAGCATCTCACAAATGCTAATAATTGACATGTATTCAACCTCTGTTGCTGAATTTGCAATTATGATTCAGTTTCTTCAAATCCACAGTCCTTTCCCAGTGTCTACATTATTCATCTCTATAGCTGTATAAGAAAAAAACAATTGCCGGAATGTGGTAACTGCAGTTGATGTTACATTCGATGGATGTTAGCCTTCTATTGACCAGTAGTGTACAGACAAAACATTTTTTGAATGTGCAACAGGCATAGCTGGAAAAGACAGGAGAGTCCTCTACACCAGTGATCTCCGATGCTGAAAACCAAACGCAACTCCAATACACCTGCTTCTGTTATTCAGTGAGTAGCTGGCTTTTAGGTCACCGCTTAGGTAAAGTTGGCCACAGTGTTTGCACCAGTCAAGTACAAAGAATGGCAAGTGTTTGGAATAAATGTGTTGGTAATGAGTTGGTAGCCTATTCAGCATGAGAGAGTGAGGAAGAACATAAAAACACCACAAAAGCAAAATCATCTGGGTTAATTACACAAACACTTTCCTGACACACAGACTCATTCACAAATTCACATGGTTTGAATCACGCCATCCATCCATCATCACCCCTCAGCAGGATCAGTGGGTGGGACGGGGGGGGCAGTAGTACGGGCCTGGCACATGACAGGTGGCGATGATGGTGGGATTGCTGCTGAGTCTGAGCTGCGCTATGTGTGTGAGATTTACCAGCAAAGGTGGGGCAAAAAGGAACTCCGACGGCCAGCTTGTTTGTTATACCTTGCATGGCGTTGTGCGGCAGCTTGGGCAGCACGTCCAGCTTCTCCCAGGAGTAGGACGGCGTGGGAATACCTTCCTCTGAGCTGCAGATCAGCATGATGTCACTGCCTACATCCAGCGTGCCCTGGATTCGACATGCTGGCACCGAGGGGGGCACTGGCAGATTGAGAGAGTGGGCGGTGTCGTGTTAACCACTTCACAAAGCAAATCTAATATTTTCCTAATTGTAGGGGAAATTTCATCGTCAAAAAAGATGAAGAATCTCATTAAACCAACAGTGCTTGCAAGCTGTATGATTGGAAATGGTTTGAAAGCATTCTGTCTTACAGGATTCTTCTGGTTACTTACAAATTAAAGTTTCATACTCATACTACATACTAAAATTTTGTAATTTACCTTCCTTTAGAGCTTTACAACTGGTGCCTTCTAAGTTAACGGCCAAACAATGAAATACTGGATATCCTATGAAATCAGATCGAAAAGCACAGCATACAGTTATGTATTATTTTCTTCCTTTTACTAACTCCAGCATATTGAAATTGTGTTGCAATACATACAGCTTTAACCCTGCTATCTTCTAATATAAGAAACTGTTCTTGTCTTGTTTTGTGAGACATTCAAAAAGAAATATTAGTTACCCAACACAGTGAGACCAATGACACCAATGTTGCGCCCCCCTCTGTCTGGGAGGTTGTTGACCAGGCACTGGTAGGTCCCCGTGTCGGCCAGCTGGGTGTTGTTGATGAAGATGGAGGCACTTGTACTTGGCATGGTGGCCACGAAGCCCACACGACCATTGAGGTGGTTGGCGAGGCTGAACACCTGGCCGCCCTGGTATATTATCACCTGGATGGGAATGTCAGAAAGTAGTGGATGTAGAAAAGGATAGTTAAAGGTAATGAATTGGTAAATTAGAGAAGTAAATGGGAAAGGGTAAAAAATGTAGGGGGAAAAGAAAATAGAAATAAATATTAAGAGTCAGCAACTCAGTTTATTATTTATCCTAAAAAGAACAAACAAATAAAATCTGCTCCTGTTGACCATAGAATGCAGATGGTGCCAAAGTTTTTATAGTCATTAGAACTGCACACCTTTTTGTAATTCTGAGGAGCTGGATACTTGAATGTGATTGTTGGACATTTCTTCTTGCGCACTGTTACAAATATCTCTCACTAGAGGGAGACCTAGTTCTACTAAGTGGCTGAAAAATAGCACAGACACAGCAGATGACAGAGAAAGTAAAGCAGTGAGCAGACATTTATGTCCTAAGAAACAAACAAACAGACAAAAAACTTTTATTTGTAAGTGGTCCTTTCTAGCTCAGTGGGTTGACTCCGGGGTAAGGAATACGTACTGAAAGTATGCTTTCATGGTACTATGCACCTCTTCAGATAAAAGCATCCTCTAAATGGTATGCATAATTGAAAACATTTTATCTTGGAAACATATAAACTACAATCTGATGAATCCATCAGTAGCAAGTCCTTGGCTCAAGGAATCAAATCCAGCAAGACATTAAACTAAAACTCTCAGTATTACATCAGTGATCTTTGAGAATAATCACTTTGAGAACACACGTATAAGGATGAATTCACACCTCGGGTCCAAATTAAAGAGCAATGAAGGATCAGTTTGTTTAGAAGCTTCCCTCGGGCCTCACAGCTCGTTTGTGAGGCTGAGCCACATGCAAAACAGCTCTCGCCCCTCAGCTGGGCCCGCACAAAAGATGAAGAGGACACACGCAAACACATGGTATGTGCAACCAAGTCTGGCACTCACACACGCGCGCACCAACTCACACACAGACACGCGCACACCAGTGCACACAGAGCGCGGAGGGGAATCAGAGGGGCTATTCACTTTGGTGTAAAGAGCCCTCATTGAACAGTTCAAAGATCCAGGCAGGGAAACAACCAGCACCAGTGTGTGTGTGCGTGTGTGTGTGTGAGAGTGGTAGTTCTGTGTATGTGACTGTGTCCTCCACCGCTGCTTAACGGTTGCAAATTGCACGGCTGCAATTTCCTGAGTGCAGTACGCTCGCTTTGTCCTCTTATGTGCAGATGAATAGGCAGCTCCTCAGCTGTGATGAGAGCCTGCGACCGCATCTTCTCTGCATGTTTCAGTGTCTCAGTGTATATCCATTTACTCACAGGGAGTGCATCAGTTGTGTGTGCAAGTGCGTGTGATTGTTCCGCCACAGACCGTATGTCAGTTTAATAACTGTGTGGTCTCACTTGCAATTTTGTCTCTCTACTCTTTCCCTGTCAAATCTTTCCATTTTCTGTCTGTCGGTCTCTGCCTACCTCTCTCTTTCCCGCTCTAACAGACGGCACCGGTGTGACCTGTCGCTACACTCCTGATGACCTAACAATATAATCTGCGTGCTCGGTGAAAGCGATCCAATCAATCGGCCTCACACGCAACACTCACTGTGCGTGCGTGTTTGTGCGTGTGCACGGGTGAGCTGAGGATTAAAGCAGGCCCTAAACGGTGGTGCATCTTACACCTGTCCCTGCTTTTGTATTGAGTTCCTGTGGGTTTTAGTTTTCTGACAATTAAGTAAAAGTGAGAAATAGGAATAAATCAAGGTCAATACTGCACGAGATGTCAAAAAATGATGAAATGCAGAGATACATGTGTACTTGTGTATGTATTTTCCAGTAAATCATATTCCACCTATTTTATAGACTTTGTGTCTCTGTCCACTGTGATGATCCATTTCTATGTGTGCGTATAAATCACCTCATCCTCTCACATGACCTGTTTGGCTTTGTAGCTGTGGGCAGGGAGAAAAGAGGTCATGGCTGGCACTCAGATGGCGGATGGCCCTAAGAACTCTAGCTGGACTAGCTGGACGTCCCACTGCTGTCCCAGCGGTAAACCTCTACTACATCCCTACCCTCCAAAAACCCTACACACACACACACACACACACACACACACACACACACCATCCTGTCATCTTACTCTACAATCCACCCTGTAAATGTGAGCCACATCAGGTACACCTTCAGATATGGCCTATCACTGTATCAGTTTCATGACCATAGCCTACTTCTGACTGACCCTAAGGACCCTGTTGGCCACATACACAACGGACACTGCCATCGCCTCAATAAAGCCCGCATAAACCTCCAACTACCCCCCAGCCTTCACTCAATTTCTTGACTCTGAGTGCTGATCTAAAAAGTCTCACTGTTGGTCAAGTCAGGTCAAGTTTATCTGTGCAGCCCGGGGTCATGTCTCAATTTCCAGGCCTACATTAGCAACAGTTGCCTAAGAAGACAAACTTGGGGGAAAAGAAGAAAGAAAAAGAAGACCCTCTGGAGAGGAAATTCAAAGAGAAATCCCATCTCCTCAGACACCTTGGGGTTTATAGGAGCCATAGGTGGGAAAAGAAAATGAAGAGAAGGTTGGTAGAATTACAAACTACAACAATGGGAATAAAACCGAACAGTAGGATTATAATTGATCCATTCATACTGTAAATACCAGTGTATGGCCATGAATAAGTCAGATTTCAGCTCGTTATGTTCCTAAATGTGCTAATTAGGAGTTAGGAGGAAACATATGCAGTAAGGGTGATCCAACATCTGAGAATTGAAAGTCAGCTTACACACACTGAGTATTACCAAGCAGAGATAATGTACAGTTAAACAAAATGACACAAACGTATCACTGTGATGGATAAACTTTCTTGAGAAAGTTCCAAGTCCCTGAAAGATCATTTTCCTTCTGTAGCCTTAGATCAACTCACATACTCTATGCTTACACTTCATATTGGAGTCAGTGAAGTGTGAATCTAAGGTCAATAGTTTAATAGTCACTGGGATATATTAGTCACATTTGATCTAGGATGTTAAGGTGTGCAATGCTACCAAGGGTGTTATTGATCTAGGTTTTTGGTCTGTGTCTTTCAATCAAAGGCAAGGGTTCAAGTCCTCATAACAGCATGGATTCGTATGCTTAGGAAAGACACTTCAAACCCTACTGGTGTAAAAGACTGTACTGTCGCTGACTTTGCATACTGATGTCCCTTGAGGTGGGCAAGCAAATAAAAAAAGATCACATCGTACATGAGAGTGTGCTGAAGTGGAGTGTATGAATATCAGTAACCTCTCCTCAGCCTCTCAAACAGCAAACAGCATGCTGTTTTTGACTTAATTGAAATGGCTCCTTGTTCATTTTCTTTGATGTGTCCATCTGAAATTGTTTAGGCAAGGGTGAAGGATAATGAGGAGAAAAAAAGGTCATATTTGAGGTTCTGTGAATGCTCCATCTATTTGCTCTATCCTCTGGCAGATTGATAGGGTTCAGATAAGGATAAGAATATGGTCATCTAAAATACTATGGCAGATATTCTCAATTACAGATTTACATAATTTCTGCACCACAGTTTCAGATATGACCTCAATTTCACCAGAACCTCGCTTCTCTGAAACCATGGCTGGACTGGCTGGATCTGGCATACCAGGCAAATACCCGGTGGGCCGACGCACCTTTGGGGCCGGTGTAATGTAAATAAGTGGTAAGCATGGAGTAGCTCAGCCTGTGGGGGACCTGGGGACATGTAGGCTACCCACCACTATTTGAAAGCATTTGTTAAAAATGTTAAAAATAGCTTGAACCAAGAAATGTTAATTATAAAAATGCTATGAAAAAGGTTTATTTGCACAATAAGCCTGCAATGCAATGTAAATGTAGAAGAAAACTGTGTATTGTAAGTTAAGGTAAAAACAATAATAAGCTACTGATTACTGCATTCTATTATATTTTTATATTCTAAATTGTCACCTGCCATCTGAATTTTATGCTTCCTTGGTGTTTTTAATTAAGTGTTTCATGCTCACAATCTTCTGGGGGAGGACCCCCCAGACCTCCCTATCAAATATTTCATCAATAAATTTTTTTTTCTAAATTGTAGGCCTATTAAAATATACACTTGTCTTGTTGTCATGGCCCAATCTTGTGCAATGTTACATCTCATGGGCTAAGTGTTTCGTCACACCCTAATCTGAGCCCTTAAATGGAAGGATGGTGTATTGGTGTGGGGGGTCCAACCGATTTTGGTGGGCCGTCAAAAATGCCAGGGCCGATTTTTTGTCCCAGTCCAGCCCTGTCTGAAACTGCACGACTTTCACTGTTTTGAGTCCCTTTCCACGAATTTATAAAAGTGTATTTTATTTTTTTTTAAACTAAAAAGTAATTTAGAAATGATACAATCAAGGGATGGCTCGATACCACTTTTTCATGTCCCATACTGATACCGATTCCTGGGCTTTGGGTATTGGTCAATACGGAGTACGGTCTGATACCAGTGTAAAATGAATAAGCTGTGCACTGTTTCCCACACGTAGACTTGACTTGGGCCGGACGCCCAGGTATATTTGTACACAGAAAGAATGACAGCTCTCCGTCTGTCTGTCTTAGCTTCCACCTCAAACATCCTCTTTTCGGTCTCTTCACCTCTGCTATAAAGGCTACTGAGTCCGGTTATGTTGCACGCTTGCTTCGCTCTGGCTCGACACCCCGCTGCTCTCCCCCAGCAGGAAAATGGTGCTTGAAACGTGGGTGGCAAACAAAGCTAGACAGCAACCAACGCAGGAGCACGCAGGAACACATAGTAACTTTACCGATGTCAGGGTTTGTTATCTAGTAATCTTACGTTTGCTAACATCAACTCAAGATTTATAGCAAGCGGCTAAACCTCCGTCTGTGAAATCTCTTTTGCTTGAGTCGACAACTTTTCTAACACAGGCAAACGTCAAGCAAGCACAACAACACAAGACACAGCAAGCCAGCTAATAAGGTATTACTTACTATTCCAACAGAAAGAAGGCCAGCTC